CTACTTAAAAGGAACACCTGGGAGAGGAATTCTGTATGGCAATCATGGTCATACCAGAATTGAATGTTTTTCAGATGCTGATTGGATAAGATCTAAGGAAGATCGAAGATCTACATCTGGCTACTGTGTATTTGTCGGAGGAAATTTGGTTTCATGGAAAAGCAAGAAGCAAAGTGTAGTTTCACGGTCGAGTGCAGAATCAGAATATAGGGCAATGGTTAAGTCCGTGTGTGAGGTAATGTGGATACATCAGCTCCTCACCGAAGTGGGCCTCAAGACCTTAATACCGGCTAAGTTATGTTGTGATAACCAAGCTGCACTTCATATTGCATCTAATCTAGTCTTTCACGAACGAACGAAACACATTGAGATTGATTGTCATTTCATTCGTGAGAAGATTCAGTAAGGTTTGGTTTCTACATGGCATGTGAAAATAGGAGAACAATTGAGAGATATCTTTACAAAAGCTCTAAATGGAGTTCGGGTGAATTATCTTTGTAACAAGTTGAGCATGATAAATATCTATACTTTTGCTTGAGGGGGAGTGTTAGAGATTATTTTCTAAAATAGTCTAGTAAATAGAGTTAGCCCTAATTTCTATCTCAATATAGTACTAGTCATTTGTATATATACCTACAAGCTCTCTATGAATAAGATATGAGAAATACCTTGAATACTTTGAAGTTATAACACTTATGATGTCCAGTTTTACGCTATTATGAGTATCAGAGCGCAGAGCCCCAGCCCGACCTGTAGGTCTGCTAACATAAAGCGAGGAGGAATGAAAAGAGTACTTCCTTTCATACCGTTGCTCGAGTGGTCTCGTATAGTTGAGTTAACGAACTGATAGTCATATCCAATCCCTATGAAGTGCTTTCAATTTCCAATTTTTTTGTGTTTAGTGAGGATATCAAGATTCTCTTAAGAGAGATTTGAGTGGTGGTTTCATATAAATTAACACAGGATAGTAGTACACTAATATGAGCAGAAACAGAGGTGCTGCATGCTGATCGATCCATGAATTCATGTTACTATTGGTTCACTTGGCAATACAGGAGTTTTGAACCACCTCATCTAAAAGCCTAAAGTGGTTAGAAAGGGGATATATTTATTTATTTAAATTTGATCTTCAACACGCCCCTCTCTTGTGCACGCTAAATCATATTTTTTAATCAAATGTCTGTTACATGCTCAATTTCATTAGTGGATAGCTGCGATGCTTGAACCCTAGACTCTCATCTGATACAATGTTGAACCACCCATCTAAAACTTGAGCTCGATAAGGAACACATTTTTTTGTTTAATCTTAATCTTCAACATGGAATATTCTAGTTCATATGTTCCTAGTTACTGTCATAACATAGACCCAATGATAATAGCATGCTTAATTTATCATTTACTTTTTGAACGTGCAGGCTTTAGATTACTGCCATTCACAAGGGATAATGCATAGAGATGTCAAGCCTCATAATGTTATGATTGATCATGAACTACGTAAACTCAGGCTAATTGATTGGGGTTTGGCTGAATTCTATCATCCCGGTAAAGAATACAATGTTCGAGTGGCTTCAAGGTTTGTTTAATTGATTAGAATTAAATTTCCATCCATTTGTTTGTTCTCTTCTCCTCGATGGCCATGCTAAAGATTCCACTTGTTATGCTGACGATAAAGAGTTCAACTAAATTATGTCTTTGATTCTTAGTTGGTGACTTTCTTCATTTTAATAATTATTCAGGTACTTTAAGGGGCCTGAACTACTTGTGGACTTGCAAGACTATGATTATTCCTTAGACATGTGGAGCCTGGGCTGCATGTTCGCTGGAATGGTGAGAGCTGTTCTCGTAACAAACTTGCATATTTAGTTTAATGCCGTAGCTGTACTAGTTCTCATTTTCTTTTAATCAGCAGATTTTCCGGAAGGAGCCATTTTTCTACGGTCACGACAACCATGATCAGCTTGTCAAAATTGCCAAGGTAATTTTGAGTATAACATATGGCCATCCTAAATTGAGAAATGTATTCAACTTGTAGTAACTTGATGAAATAATGTGCTGATTGGTGTCTTAAAAGATCGTTTGAAGAGAAGTCATTTTCCAAAAGTTCTCTTGACCTGTTTTCTCCATAGGGCTTTGAGAACTGTATTCAACTTTCATTGGTGTAAATTGATGTAGATCGGCTTCTAGAGAACTGCTTCAGCTACTCCAGATTTTAAAATAGCTCAAGGAGTAGAACATTGTTAACATGGCCAATTAACAATTGTAAGATACTTTCAAAAGATTTTCCAATCAAGGCTTTTGCGTGGTGTTAATCTAGGAGAATATACAAATGATGTACTACTATGGTGCTTAATGAATGCCCAATTAAACTGTTTAAATGATATAATAATAAAGCTTACAGTGCATAGCTGCACATAAATAGGGAAGCTGGAGATGTGCAGTCTGGATTTATAGTGCTTCGCTTAATAAACTTACACCCATAACACCAAAGGCCACCTTTAAAAATTTACTAGTAGCGACAATACAATAATCATAATTCAGAGGGTTATTCCAATATCAGATTGGTTAGACCAACAACAGAAACAAATCCTCTTTCTTCTTCAAGTTGGTAACATCACACCAACCTTGTAGTAGTTATCTGTTTGCAAAAGACTCCGAAACAGAATGGAAGAGTTCTTTCACTTCGCTCCTAGTGAAATACTGAGTTTATTACACATAGTAATTCAATTAACAACCTATTGTACAGGCAATTACATTTACAGAAATAAATTTTCTCAGAAAGCGTGTAATAAAAAATCTGTGAAAATAATTCACACAAAATGTATAAGAAGATTTTGATGTAATTAGCTCATTGATATTTCAAAAAATGACTAGAAACTGCTCAAATTGTGTTTGTATAGACATTAAGGGCTTGAGAGTTTTGGAGTACCGGTTATGAGCTTTTTTAAAGTACCGGTTTTGAGCATTTATGAGCATAACGGTTTTGAGGTTTTAGTAGCGGTTTTTAAACCTATCTAACCTATGCTCGAGAATTTATTATCCATTGGTTCTGAAATTTTTTTAAAACAATAAAATTACATATATGTCCCTTAGTGAAAGTTTTAATTTATAGTTTCTTGTAAGAATTTTTTTCTCATAAGTTATATATTACTTATAGGTAAGTTTTATTTTTTTGCATATACGTTAGTATTTAACTTAAAAAGGTAAACAAATTTAAATATTTACTTAAAATTTCATGTTAGTATTTTTTTCACCTATACGTAAACTTTACTATTATAAGTTAATTTTGTACTTTTAAATATTTTTTACATGAGTGAATTTTTTACTTATAAGTAATTTTTATATTTTATAAGTTAATTTTTGTATTATTAGTAGTATTTTTACTTTATAACAAAATTTTGCATGAGTGAATTTTTTCTTATAAATAATATTTTGTTTATAAGTAATTTTTTAATTATAATGTAATTTTTTTTGCTTATAAATAACTTTTTAGTTAATATACTTTTTTTTACAAGTTATTTTTGAACAAAATATGTTTGTTGTAAAAAAAAAAAAAATTTAAAGGGTAAAATTAGAAAAGTATACGGGGAACGGCCAAAATCCGTCGATTTGGTGGTTGAGAACGGGTCAAAATTACACCACCAATTTTGAGTTTTTTTAAACCATAAAAAACTGATGATAAAAAAAATTATCAAACTACCAAAAATCAGTCAAAAATGGTGAAAAAAACTTCAGCAGGCCCTAAAATGAAGCTCAAATTCACAAATGATCTCAATGAATGAATAGTTGTTTACTTCATTGACATGAAGGGGTTTTCCTAAAGATTTTCTATAATGCAAGGTTTTAAACCCTTAGCTTTGTTTGGAACAGAACAATTTATATAGCAAAAAACAATGAAGTAGCAAATTGAGATAATTTTGAAGGTTCATGTAGGCCCATCAATTTCCAGATAATTTGAACATTAAGAAACTAGAGTAGTGAAATGCAAATATAAAATTACTTTGGAGAAATTTCAAATAATGTGGGTTAAACATGTCCTCATTCATTTGTGAGCGTGTAGGACGTCTATAACCTTGGTTTGGTTGGACACTCTCATATTATATATTTTTTACTCAAAGTTATTATTAAATAATAAATAGGTAGTAATATTTAAAAGATTTCAACCAGAAAAATTAATAACAAGTATAAAACTAAATTTATACTATATAAATGAAGAATTTTAAAAAATTAATCAATGTGTCAGTGACGTTTGTGTAAATACATTTTTTGAAAGATCGTTTGTCAGCACATGTCAAATACACGTGTCCGTGCATGTGCATAATAGGTTGCGGATGCCCATAACATTTTTAATATGACCATGTCTTCCTTAACTTGGGTAGTTTCATTATATTTCAGCACTTGAGCTCCTTTGCCTGGTAAAACCATCTCCCTTGAGAATTTGATCTCTATAATGAGTTTTGAGACGTTTAAACTTTGTTCAAGGACATCTAAAACTCCTCTCAGTTAGAAGAAAATGTGTTCTTTCTTGTTGTCAAAGAACTCTACTTGTTAAACACAAAATCTATCCTTAATATTTGAGGATCGAAGGAATATACTAATGTTATTATTTACATTTCCTACTCTTAAGTAGGATTCACAATATGGATGCCTAAATGGTGGTAAATATGAATAAGGGAACAATATAATTGTATGCCACGTTGTTCGCGGAAGGCTTGTCATGTGAGTTCATAATGACTTTGGGCATCCTTCCCTTGTAAGTTTTAAGGGTGAATTCTATTCAAAGTGGTTGTTATAATTGGTATCAAACTAGGCACCTTCTTGGGGGGCTCTAGTTGCAGACAAGGCGACTCAAGGAGGATTATTTCCAATAGAAGACTAATTTTGTGGAGTTAACAAGCTAGGAAAAATGGCTGTCGTGGATGTCAGTTTTGAATAGAAGTGGAACATTACGATTTAATTGTATCCCACATTGCTCGTGAAAACTTGCATTGTGAGTTTATGTATACTTTGGACACATCCCCTTACAAGCCGTAATAAAAGTGATACCCTAAGTGGTTACAGAAATTGAATTGAGTTCTCTCTCTTTACATGTATCTTTGCCTCTTGCTTTGGAAGCTCATAATTTTTCGAACTGTCTACATGTCCTTATCACTAAACTAGATGAACCTTGGTTTGGTATTTATGATTGTTTTCTGTATAATCTTGAAGTATGGAAGTTACTGCCAATTCCTAACTTGCAGAATGGGAAACTGGAAATAATAAGGACCAATAATGCTAAGCAAAAGAATTCAAGTTTCCAAATTCACTGATTTTATCATCTTGGAAAATCCACATATATGAGTTATCTTGTACACTCAATTTTGAGTGTTTTTGCCAACAATGTAATCGGGTCTACTTATCATGCATGACAGAGCATAATACTTCAATGCAGAAATAGGATTTCAGATTGTGGATGGGCTTAACCTGCAAATTGGTTCTATGCTTTGCCAAAATCATGATTATACGACTGGATTTTTCAATTGCAATTTGCCTGAATTGCATAAATATAAACTTTTTGTAGATAATTGGCAAATCCTTGATTACAATTTGTAGTCATTTATTTTATTATGCGCTCCAATGAATTAGATTTTGGGTTCTTTCTAGACTAGTACTTGTTTTCACCACAGAAATCCATCGATTTTTCCTTTTTACTTATGGACTGTGTACCACAAACTAAATTTTCCAATATGTGGTTAGTGGCGTTTTTTTTAATGATTTGTGATTACAGGTACTTGGTACAGATGAGTTGAATGCATATTTGAACAAATATCATCTTGAACTGGATCCTCAACTTGATGCTCTTGTTGGAAGGTATCTACTAGAATATGATTTGTCTCCATGCCCACCACCGAACCTAGCTGGAAATACAATAAGATAAGAATGCAAAGAAATGTTATCATAATAGACACAGCTTGTAGTATTCGAATCTCATATCTCATTTTCCTTTTTCTTGATATTTGGAATTGATCTGCAAACATCCTAGTTCATCTCTATCTTGTCTATGAGGGAAATAATGAGAAACTAACAATACTGCTTCTCTCCCAGGCACAGCAGGAAGCCCTGGTCTAGATTTATCAATTCAAATAATCAGCATCTCATTTCCCCCGAGGTCATTCATTTATAGACCTTTCGCTTTTTTTTTTGGTCATCAATTTCCTGTACAACTTCACTGTTGATTTATCCGATTTTCTTCTAATGTCATGTGCAGGCCATTGATTTTCTTGATAAGCTTCTCCAGTATGATCATCAAGATAGGCTTACAGCTAAAGAAGCAATGGTAAATTTCGGTTTCTTAACTTTTTCTAATTTCTTGCAGTTGGAGAATATGTGGAGTTTCCCATACCTATGCCTCACTTTGCTTCCAAGAATTCACAATTTTGTGAGCCAAAATATTTATTTAATTTGAGTTCACCTTTTAAATCATTTCAAAAATGATCTTTTATCTTGGTTTTAATATGCGAGTTTCTCAAATATCTTTTAATTGGTCTTGATTTCTGAGATGATATTTCTTACAGCCTCTTTATATCTTACTAGATAATAATCAATAATGTTGGAACACATAATCTACTTATTTTTAATTTCTATCTTTCATCTATTTCTCACCAAGAATGTGCAATACATAGCTCTCGATTGCATGCTTTGCATAGTTTTGCATTTTGTTGCATCCATAATTCACTTGCGGTCTGTTATTTTAGCAGTGTATTTGGTGAATAAATGAGGGTGATATTTCTTGTCCTTTCTTTTTCACCTAATTCATTGGCAGAATCCTTTATCACAGCGGGTTTTAGTTACAGAATTTAGGTGCCTTCAGTTTCACTGTTCTTGTACTTGTATGCCTGCATTTGGTCTTTCTCTTGCTCCCTCGGTTGTTTTTTCAAATTTCTGATCTGTGCTCTTCATTCTTAGATTAAAATGGATTATACACTTGCATTGCACTAGATTTTGGTATTACACTCTCGAAGATTGAACAATTTACAAACAGCTGTTTAGAATACTGTTAAGCCTCTCTATCACATTTCTGCTAAATTCACATTTTCGATCTATTATTTGGCTTAATAAAAATTTCTAAAGCACCCTTGTTCTTATCTCAGGCTCATCCATACTTTATCCAAGTGAGGTCTGCTGAAAATAGTAGAATGCGGGCGCAGTAGGCTTGTACTCTTTTACATGTTTAAGTGACGTAATAATGTCTGAAATTTCCATGTTCTGAAGATGATGGTTGCTAAACAGCTTTATAACATTCTCCTAATTCCCTCGTCATTGCAAAGATATTGTATTTTCAATACTTGTATGAATGAAATGCCATATGTTACCATTCGCAGATTATCGGATGATTGGTCCTAGTTCGTGTTTTAGCTATCACAGCGTTATAGTTATTACTATAGTTACGAGTTGTTTGTTTGATTTGGTGTAGTTCATGTCAAGATTCAATGCAGATTTAACGTAGAAAAACTTTACTGCCATTGCTTGCACGTGAACACAAATATTGGGATATGATATGCAAGGCATGTTTGGCGTCAGGATATCAAACCAAATTTTATCTTCTTCGTATCTGTTCCCATCCGGCCTATCAAACATGTCAATAACGAAATTTGCATACATAATAGATTAGGGTGTTGTGGTCGCTCATTGTGCGGTTTGAACATGTATAGCACGCAAGTAATGGACAAAACTAAGCAAGACTTTGTAATCCAATATATCAAACCATGCATTCATGTCAATAACACAAGGTGGTTGTCAATCCAAACACCCATTGTAGAGTTGAGATCAGGGCACTACCAATATGTGACATTTTGTCAATGTTACTAGCTTTCTTTAATTATTTGTAGTTCTTTGCTATAATGTGATAAACTCATCTGTAATGATTTTTCGAATTCAGCCCCACTATTACTAAAAACGAGTTGGGATCTACCATCCTCATTTCTTGATCACTTTGGCTACCACCGACATTTGACAACTCAATATTGTTAGCAAATAGCAAGCAAGGAATCACAGAATATACTACAGTAGTGCCTTACGATATGCTAACAAGAGTTTGATGTAATATATTGTCAATTTTACTCGGAGGACAGCCAAGGAGACATTGAAATGAGGACAGAAGATTAAAAATCTGGCACCACTAAATCATTAGATTCTGGAAGCTGCCAAACATACTTCACAAAACAGTAATAAAATGAACTAAAAGTGAAGAGGAGATATTATAAACATATTTAAGAGTTTCAAGCCATTTAACCACCAACAGTTTGGAACATTTTTTCAATGGAAACAATGAAACCAGTCCTAGCTAAATCACATGACAGATTGGAGACACAGTTGAAACCCATATTTGATGTTTCCTTTAACTGGAAATCATCATTTCTTAAGATGAGGAAAACATGCGTACACATCTGCTTTGGGGTGCTTTGCTTCAGCATGTTCCCTGCATTTCACCTCTGAAGTAGTGCAGATAAATGTTTGCATGCACACCTTGCACTGCAATTCACAACCACCAAGCATTAGAAACGATGACAAATGCAATACATACAAGCATGCATCATAAACATTAAGCACAAGATGACTTTAAATACTTTAGCGGAAAATTTTACATCACACTTGTAAATTCTTGCTTATAGCTGTGCATATAGCGTAGATGACCATTCTCATCTTCTAGTGCATGTGGGTCAGCCCAGGGGAAGGGGGTAAGGCTCGGCAGGAAGGATGTCTCGAAGAGACAGAACCAGTTCCACCTCCTAAGATGGGTATTCAAATTGAAAGTGTACAAATGCAGCTAATTCAGACTATCATCATATTGTGAAAGTAAACTGTCCTTTCTTTGTCACTTTAGAGTTCGAAATATAGTGGAGAAAATAAGATGCTAGAATAAAGAACTTTATAGCTTGCACCTAAAGAGCTAAACGAGATCCAGAGTACAGCACAAAAATGGAGAGATTCATAAATAATTGAAGAAGTGAAAATCAATCAAAAGATGGAGGACTGCGGTGGAGGTATCAACTAGGCTGCATACAATTTGACAAATGCATAATCATCAAAAATCTAGTGCACTTATAATCATGAACAAAGGATTAAATGAAGATCTTGAACACCTGAAGCTTGCTCTATTTAGATCCTAAAATTTAATGCAAACCAGTTAAATACAGCTTCCACGTGAAAGCTCTTTTTTTCTTGTCTGTGTCAATTATAGCGTCAACTCAACTTAACTAACTTGACTCCTTGACACTTTCCATTTTCAAGCTGGTCAGTAAATAAACGAATTCAGAACCATAAATTTTTAAACGCGCCAATACAAAAGATTGTTTTTATCTTTGCAACATAGCTCAATTCAAAACCCAAAGCTATTCTCCAGTCAAAAGAAGCTGCACTTTTTTCTCAGATGAAGAAAATGTTGAGCAAGTTCAAACCCTCTAATTTACTAATGAACAGAGGTTTTTCAAAAAAATAAGGCATTTTTAACTTCTCATTGTTTTTCTGTCATGAATATCCAAACTATAGCAAGTAAAATTTAAAATACAAAAATTAAATTCCTTTAGTTAAAACACAAAAAATTAGTCTCGTGTTCACCAAGAAAAATCCTAAACCGGTTTGCTTCTCCTTTTCCAAAATCGAATATCAAAATCAAAACTTCTTAAAGTGTATAACAATCTTGGAAAATCTACTTTAATTAAGCAAAACACTTAAAAAATGAACGGAAAATTACTGCAAGTTTCATATACAGAATACTCCAACAAAACATCAACAAAAAAACCCAAATTAAACTAAATAAAAATTATGCAGAAGAAATATATAATCTAAACCTGGATCGTCATGGCCTTTTTGTTGGATTCAAGCTGACTTCCTGCGCAAAAATCACAATCTTTTCATAAGATTAAATCCTATTCAAATCAATAAATTCCCTATTTGATCTCAGAATCATGGAACCAAAAAAGCATTCACATACCTTTTCCTGCAGCCTTCATCTTTTCCAAATTCTTTTCACGAGCCATCTTGGATTTCTGTGCATTACCTCCACCCATGGCTTCAGATCTGCGTCTTTCGGTCTCCAAGAAAATTCTAGATAGAGCCCTTTATTTTTCTTAAATTTTTCTTGGCCCTTGGGTTTGGAATGAGGGCAGAATTCGTGCTATATATAATACTCCCAAATATTTTTTTTAACCTTTTTCAGTTAAATTTATAAAAAGGGGTGAATTTGGTGAGATGGGTAGATGATGAATTAATGAGAGATCGAAGAAAGTTGCAAAAAATTGCTAGGTTTTGCTGATATGGTGGGTGTCTATCTGTTACTTGTCTTTAGCCCAATAAATGGTGGCCGTGTTCATGTACAAATTATGAAACGTAAATATTACAAACCTAATTTTTCTATGCATGAATCTTTCTTTTTGACTTGATGAATACGTGTGGGTCCGTCATTCGATGATAAGGGTAGTCTACGACTGCAAGTTTGGTTAAAAAATGAATTTCCGATTCACATGAAAATCGTAAATTCATTTGTTGATAAGGTCAAAAAACATATAATTTTATGTTCAATGAATAATGCTATCTGATATCATCGAAGTTAAAATATCAATTTATGTGACGCTATGGCCTATGTGATAGAATTAATAAAATGTATAATTAAGTGATTTAATTAATTGTACATATTATTTAATATCATATTATTGTCATTTATACTGATATTTTAACGTTAGTATTGATAAAAAAAACTTTACTAATGTCGAATCGTCAATCAATGGCACAACAATGCCAAGCAGTTTAGACTATGTGTTGGCTCCTGTTTAGAAATACTTGACTCACTTTTTATCTACTTGTATCGAGAAATCGACAAGTATTACTCATTTATTCATCACTTATTTTTATATAATAATTTAAATCGTTTATGAACAGTTTTAAAACATACTTTTTACAATTCCTAAAATGACCTACAACAATATGTATGTTTTCTTGTATAAATAATCATTGAAGTCCTGATCAAAACAAAAACAGAAAGAAAATTAAAAATAAAAATAATAAGGCATTTCTCGATGCAGCAAATTTTGATTAAGAAAATAGAGAAATAACTTGTCTTCTAAAAAATCAACCCATTAAATTTAAATTTAACGAGAAACTTTTGCCAATGATCAAAGAAAGAGAATATTGCAGTGTATTATTATTATTATTATTCTTATTATTATTATTATTATTATTATTATTATTATTATTAATACTAGGGTGCAACAATACCGTTGCAGGTTAGGAACAAATATATTGTAACATCACATTTCTTCCCTCGATAGCCACAACATGCGCACCTCAAAAATTAAACAAAATTCAATATATACACAACTATCAAAATAAAGATTTAAACTTTCTTTTATTTCCTATAAAATTATATTATTCTTCAAAATTTATTACCTTTAGGGTGCGTTTGATTGCAATGGTGGAAAATGGGTGGAAAGAAAATATTTTATTGGGAAAAGATTTGCCTAGAAAAT